ACATTAATTATAACACTAAGCGTTTATGCTATAAAGGATACAATATAGACAGCATAAACTATCTACTGACCTTCCCACAAGACTCGCAGCATCTCCAACCAGCGGCATTCATATGGAAAGTCTCACAGAATCTTCCTTCCTCATAAGCAAGACTTGGATCACACAAAAAAGCGAAAAGCTATCTGTCAGTGTAATCTACAAAGCCTACAATATTATACTTAGAACTTGAAAGATGAATGAAGATTAAGGTAGATGAATCACCAGATACAGTCAAGTTGTGATCTATATAGCCGGTTGAAATTCTAACGTGTTTTAAAATGAATTCAACAGGCAATAGCATTTCCTTGCCATCCTTACTTCCCCAATTAACAATAAGTATCGCAACTGACTCAATCACTGGTAATTAAGCTTGAAAAGTTGGGAAACCTTACAAAATAAATTCGTTCTCCAAAATAATTCTGCACCTTGACACCATAGGCGGACCTTCCATATGCCTAGTGGGGGCAACGGCTCCCATGGAACAAATATTTATTTTTACTTTTTTGTCATTATTTTTCTGACATATATACGTCTTTTCTGATTGAGAACATAAACTTCCATTACCATTAGATGCCACGGATATTTGATTAATTTTAACTGACTCAAATAGTCAAACTCTCATATGAACCTTCCATATTTTGTCAATTAACCCAAAAAGAGAAGAAAAATAATCATTTTGCAGTTTCACTCTTTCTTCTTATGGATTTCATTGCATCTCTCTAAGTTTTTTTGGCCTATAAAGCTCTCAACAAGAGCTCCAACTGCCTTAAGCTACTCTACATTTTCACCTTCATGTCCTACGGGGTTTCAATATCCCAACAAATACAGACAAACAAAACAGAAAGGATTGTAATATTGCACGTTCAAGAGAACTACTTATATTAAGGCAAGCAGGTTAGGTTAATTAAAAAGTATTTCATGAGCAAAACTGTATATGAACATTTAACCAAAGGGAAATAAATATTCCCAAAACCAAGTGAAGCAACAAAATTGTTTCATAAAAATCACACTAAAGCATCCGTCGAATTCAATGGAGAAGTTAAAACAAAGAATCTTTTAATCTTTCCCCTAATTAAATTATAGTTTCTCTCCAAACTCCTACTTCACCAAGCAGTTCAGCTCAGCACTAATCAAAATGACAGCTCCCGCGCATTTACCTAAAGGAGCCAAACTATTCAGCGCCCTCAATCAAATTTGAAAGAATACGAAGTAAACGGAGGTAAAGCCAGTGTTCCCAAACTACCCTTTTTTTCAAAAGCCCAATCTCGTTCTCGAAACTAGAGCATAACGCCACGACTTCTTCCAAATTTAGTAAATTCCCCCCTAAAAACCCACTACTAAAACCCTAACCTCGATCTCAAATCGATCCATTCAACTCGAAACGACGTCAAATGAAGCCATGACTTGAAACCCAAAAAAAACACTGAAACAGTTCAAATTAACAGATTTTGAAAAAGAAAAAAAAACAAACAAAACAAAATGCTTGGCTTACTAGCATCGATCGCATAGCTCAGCATACTCTCCCGTACGTAGCCGCCAGCCCTTTCTCGGATGCTCCGATTTCAATTCCTTGCACTCGGAATTGTAGCAGACCTTGGAAGACGACGACGACATCGAAGAAGCTCCACATACAAGAAACTAAAACCCTAGAAATTAAGCAGCAGAGGAGTTATAGAGAGAGAAAGTAGAGCGAGAGAGAGAGAGCAGTACAGATATCGAAATACAGTGGTTTGTTTCGGCCTGATCTGTACTTAATCATATAGAGCGAGAGAGAGAGAGAGAGAGACAGAGACAGAGGAGTTGGAGAGGGTTTTAGAGAGAGATAGAAAGAAAGAAAGAAAGAAAATGTATTTATTTCTGGAAGTGAGAGAAAATAATTAAATAAATAAATGCGTGAAAATTATATTTAAGCCTTTTCCTTTTTTTGTTGAAAAATATTTAACACTTAAAAAGAAGCTTTAAAAACACGTCCAGTCGTTTTGACCCAAAAAAAAAAAACACGTCCAGTCGTGGCCTTATGTTCGGCGTCGTCGTTTCTCTCTCAAACTTTTTTTGTTGTTGTTTTGTTTAATTTTTTTAAGTTTCTAATAATATCTAATGTCGTTGTCGTCCCAGCTTTGAATAGCAAATTCCCATTTTATCCGCAAAAGCCACAGACGACAGACCTGTATGTATGCCTACCTCCGCTAACAAGACGGGCGTTTTAGTAATTTGGAGCTAAGTTGGATAGAGAGAGCGAGTTTAGAAATTTGTTTACTCGCGAGAGTAGGGAGTTTTGGTCGCTTACAAGGTGCGGGTGATTTGGGGTATAATCAGATGCATGGCCCGCTAAAGGTCATGCAATCACGTAACGCCTACTTCTCTTGCCTTCTTGTTGGTTTGACGTCTTCCAGTCGCTAATGTTTTTACTATTTATGGTACTGTTTGGTTTATGTTGGTTGTTTGTTATAAATGAAAATATAATTTTTTTAAAATAACGTTTACACAGTGTATTTACACATAATGGGAATCATACAAAAGTTACGAATACGGTAGAAAATGAATGAGTGTGAGATTTTTCAGGTATTAGATATTATGAATTTTAATGTGAAATTCGCATTCAACGCATAATAAGTAATTTGCGATACAATTTTGTATATCGACTATATCAGTGTGATAAAATATTAAATGCTAAAACTTTCTTGATGCAAATGATGAATAATGATGAAGCTTAGCAAAAAAAATATAGCCTATCCAAGCCTAACAATGTTGTGTTGTATTCCTTCTTGGTTACTTCTTATTTCTTCCTAGGAGGAAGCTAACAAGTTTTGCAATTTAGTGATCAGACGCCCGCGGACAGCCAGCCACATATACCTCTCCATATCCAATAACAATTTTGGACACTTATGTGAAAGAGATAAGAAGGATTTATTTTTTTGGACTTTTCACATGTAAATCCATAAATAGAGACCAAAATATAAATTTATCTTCTTCTTTTTGCCCTTTAGGCTATAGATTAATACATACACGTGAAAATGAACATATATATATATATATATATATGCTGGCTAGATAAGATAGATAATACCAAATAAATTTTGTACTAGTTTGCCTTAGCTGCCATCGATACGATGCCTTAATTAGCTCGTTTTCACTAAGCTGTACCGTAATGTACTCAAGAAACAAAACTAATAATAATAATATATAGGTGATTGATAATTATGATTAAGATATAGGCTGAATAAAAGAGGCCAATTGCTTGGTGGTGGCGTCTCAAGCTAAGCTAGAGTGGCATTGTAGGTCTAGGATTCATCATACGTGATTTGTAACAAAACTACAAAAGGGGAAAACCCACTAAGAAAGAATGTCCACATATGCACGTATTTATGCATGTATACCAAGTAAGCAAGGTAGATATATATCACAATTTACATGGCAAAAATTAGTGTTTGGTTTTCTTGGTTGAGTGTTGACTTTAGAAGTTGAGATGAAGGGTCAATGGAATTTCCAATGTAGAAAAGTGGTGGGAGTATAATGTTAGGATTTTAAGGGTAAAAAGAGTTTCGCGTGAATTAGGTCAATTGGTCAACGACAATATGTTCGGCTATTGATTCCGAATTTGAACCTTTCTTACAATAGAACCAGAGTCGTTAAAACTTTTTTACTTTTGTTCCCCTTTTTGTGAATAAGAGACCTGAACTGACTGACATATGTATGCATTGCTCGTCAATCCCCACTTATCATTGACCACAATTAAATTTGGAGTTGAAATGATTTGGGCCACGTTGTATATTTGAATTTGAGTGAACCCTGTAGCAGGCGTGTTGACGCTGCCATGATGAACCCCCACGTCATACCTGACTTTTAGATGCATATATAAATCATACATAAAAACCTATGACTGGTATTATTATGATAACGTGCCCATCATTGTCACATATTGCATCATAATGAATTATATTCCATAATTGTTATTATTAACTTTTCATCACATAATTGTTATTTTTTTAATCTTTTGTTTATGGAGTGAATGAATTCTTTTTGTGTACTAGAATGCTAATTATTTATGTCAACGCCAGATTTCTCAATTACCAAAACACATGGACGACTTTTATTACAAAGGTCAATGATTTAAGCTGTCGAAAACAATTATATGTAATTACTTTAATTACTAGAATGTCGGCAGGCATGTTCAACATGCCTTCTATTATTCGTTTCCAGCATATTAACATTATAAATTAATTAGCATTATACAAATACATTTCGTACTGGTCATCTATAAATATTGGATGCATTAAGGATCTTGTTTTATTTCATGGCTTCGTGCAGCCTGCAGTCTCCGTCGATGGGCTAAATTTGAATCTTTCCGTATTGCCGTCTACGAATCTGTGCCATATAACAGTGAGGAGGCATTGCAGAAGGCTGTTTCGATGCAACCGGTCACAGCTGCGGTTGAAGGCGGAGGAATGACATTCCGACATTACTCCAGTGGGGTCTTTTCTGGAGGTTGTTGTGGGATGTTACTTGACCATGGTGTTACAGTCGTTGGCTATGGCAAAAATGAAGACGGCATTATTGGTGGGGTGAGCGTGGCCCATGAGAATTCCCAAAGATGTTGATTTTCCAGAAGGTCTTTGTGGCATTGCCATGTATGCTTGCTATCCAGTTGTATTACATGCACATGACTACAATTTTTCAATTGGATTACTTTTCACAGAGAACATGCATGGCCGAAAAAGAGACAATTGGCTTGATGATGGAGTGCTGAAATTAAAGAGATTTGTCACATGAGATTTGGGCGAGCAAAAGTGACATGAACTTGTTGGCCCTAGTCTCTACAATGACAGGCTTCCACACAAAACAAAAAGTGGGGTTCTTTTATTGTTTAGGGAAAAATTACCTGTCTTAGAAAGTAAGTGAGCAATCTGCATTCACATTTGGTCTTAAGGTTTCTATCATTGAAACGCTCATGTATACATGTATTTCAGAAGGTGGAATGAAATATGGTCTCTGGATTTACCAGAGTCGTATGCATTTCTGTACTACAAATCTGTTTCAGAACAAAAGAAAACTGTAAAATCAAAGCAAAAGAGTGAAAGACAAACTGCACATTACTTCGACAGTAATCTTGGTAGCTGTTACAAAATCACTTTTCAGCAAGCAACTTGCCGATGAACGAATCGCTTGTACTCCTTGCAGCTTTGTACAGGGTGGATTCTGCTTGGTATCTCGATGTGTAACCAAAATCAAATACTTGATAAGAAGTAGATTTTATACCGGGGAAAACAGAGTAGCTAAACCTTGATCCACAGTTATTTGAAGTTTATCATAGGCCATCAGTGTCTTTTGGTCACATTTGTATGCTCCTTTGCCCCTAGCCAGGACCTCACCATCTGAGTCTATAATCCCTCCCCTTGTGGGGTCCTCAGTGAGAGGACCTGGTTCCAAAATTAATGCTTTCACCTGCAGTATGTCGCGAGATAAAAGAGAATGTAAACAGAAGTGGAACATTAGTAAAGCTTCTTGTATATACCAAAAGGCAGACACGGAATATTAAAGCTAAACTAAATGCTTGATAATTTGGTTTTTCTGACCTTGAAGTACATGACATATGGTGAATTGACATGACTTCCTGTGCTCAACCCTGACATCAACGAGAGCAAGGATAGTTTTGGGCAAGCCCTCATGATTATCATGTCTACGTAACCATCTGAGAACTGCACACCAACAGGCAAAAAGAGCACAAATACATGTGAATTATTCGAGTTTCGAATAAATATCCCTTGACAGTAGTAGTGGAGAAGTATCTGAAGCAGATGCTAATCAATTTTACAGTCCAACCTTAGCATCAGGCGCTGCCTTTGTGTCTTCACTCCCCCAAGGGACATTGTGAAGCCAGACTGAAACGAATGGCCCACTGATAGTTCTCCAGTCCATGTTCTCCAAGTTAATATCAGGTCCCTCATAGCCATGCTGTCGAATGTTAACAGACTCCTCTTTACTTGGACCACATTTATTGTGACGGTTAGTAGGTTCACTAATGTTGTTGTAACTAGTAGGCTCCCCATAAGCTTCAAAGCCAGGTGCAGGCACAAAGGAAATAGATCCATTATATTGCCTCAAATGCACAATTCGTTGAACAGCCTAAAATATAGAAACAATTAACATACAAGTGAGCCGGTGCAAAAGGTTTGGTTAACATATGCCAGATTCCATTCCACCAAGGTTACAAATGGGACTCTCAATTGCATGCATTTTCCACCAAGAAATGCTACAAAGAAGAACCCTATTTAATTGTGACATTTTAAGTTTGAAATCCTTGAGAAAGAATCGGATACTACTAGTTTTCATTATTTTACAACTGTTGGAGACCTAATTGTAATATAAATTTGATTTACCATAAGAAATGATTAAATTTGAACTCACCTGTTGAAGCATTCTATAATAATTCCTATTTGAAGACACTATTAGGTCCTAAAAATTTGTACAGGAACTAATTTAACAAAACAAATAGTGTTATACTTGGAAGTTTTGATTCTAGACCTAAATTCAATGCAGTGGTTAATAATAATACCAGGGCAACAAATCACGTAAAAGGATACACAAGCACACAAACATCTAAATGAGCAACGACATAAACTAGTAAAGTAGAACATAATAAATGAGAGCTAAACTTACATAGAAATCTAGACGAGCACTTCCCATCCACCTATACTTCTCAGACTCAATGTCAACATCTGCCACTAAACCTGAAAGCATATGAAAAATCATATTGCTGTGAGAATCAGATATTCTAGTAGGAATTATTCCAGTACAACTAGAAACTTATAGAAATAGCATAGTATATTCCACTATCCAGTGGTGATAGTTTTGACGCACCCCATGCAAGCATCAATACACTGAAGAATTTGGTCTTCCCCTGCCATATGGTAGCTACATCCAGTGAACGCTTATTCCCTGGCCATAAATAAACCACAAAGAAGAAAATATCATTAATCAAAAGAACTAAGTACCAACAGATTAGAGGGAGAGAAAGGGAGCAAAGCTATTATTTTGAACACAATATAATGATGTACAGACAGCATATGTAACCTCGAATAATGGCAAGAATAGCATTAGATGCTGTACAAGGTTCACCAACAGAATCCAAAAGAGATTTTGCCATTCCATTTCCTGTACCTAAATGAAGAAACATCTCTTGTCAGGAATTAATCTTGAAAACAACCAACTAATAACTCTGTTTGTTTTGATGCACAAATTATCACAATTCACTGTAGTGGCCTCACCTTCCATAAAATGAATGATCTAGAAATTTTCAGAGATTTTTATTTTCTTTCTAAATATAAAGAAAATTGAGAGAGAAAGAGTATTGAACCTGCAGGAACTACTCCAAGAGGCATCTTTATTGCAGCTTCCCAATCCTCTCTCTCAAGGAGTCCATTTACTACCTACTAAAAAGTGCAATGCTTATAAGAAGAAAAATGTAAGCTTAATCTATGCATATGATCCTGAAGACAAATGTACCGGATTAGCATGATATAAACATAAAACTAAACCAAAAATAGATTCTTTGTTGTGTTTCAGGCTACTAACATTGCCAGTCAGTTGATTTGCCACTTTCAGTTAGAGACCGTCGCAGCTTTAAAAACTTGTTAGAACAAATTAACACTATATGTTTACCAAATTACCAGCAGCTCTGAAAAAAAATAAAAAAAAATAAAAAAATCTAACTCATTGGAGGAAAACAAAAGGGCTGGTCATTATATATAAGTAATTTGAAATTCCTCGAGGAAGTTGTTTGCACAATCACAAGATGGCATTCCTTGTGTTTAATAACTCTGCAACAAAATCATATTCACATAGCTAGTGATCACTGGCAACCAACCTCAACCAAGATTCCATCCCCACTAACACAAACAATGCCATCATACTTTGAAAGATCTAGTGTTTTAGCAACTTCCTTCGCATGTAGTTGATATTGAGTTTCTGAAACATTGATTGAAAAAATAATTACAAAGGGGATAAATTAACTTGACCTACAATCCACAAATCCAAAACTTGGCACATCAACTATTAAGCAAGATTTTAAGGAAGATTTCGAACCTTGTAGTGTAAATTGGATATTAGCATCCTGGAAAAGAGGTTTTACGTGTTCAGCATATATTTTTGAAGCGGATTTGCTCCCACCAAATGGATTCACAAAAACGAAGAGCCTCTTTGGCCGCCCTGTTACAAAGAGAATAAGTTACCATCTATATTATCACAATAAATGCAAGAAGTAATATAAAAAAACCAAAAACTCAATTTCTTTTCAATAATTAGGCTTTAAAAAAAAAAAAAAACTTAAGTGGAATTTAGACTAAAAAGAGCTTCAGTAGCTTAAGTTAACAAAATTGAAACAAAAACAACGGAAATTCAAAATCGCGCAACGGTCAAACAACCCAAAGTCAAAAGTCAAAAGTCAAAACTTCCCAAGCATTCATTTCCGTTCCTGCATTTTCCTATCAACCAAACAGGACAGAAGCCAAATAGAGCATAGATGATTACCCAGAGAATCAATGTGTTCGCGGAGCTTCTGGCACCAGAGCCTATGCGAGTCCTCAGAGAGAGGCTTGAAGACGAATTCTTTCCTCACCACAGCTCCTCTGCTCGCGACGCAGCAGATTCCATCTCCGTCTTCCACTAAGGCTCTGATCCTGATCTTCGGACCCTCCGCTGCGAACCCGAGGACCTCCTTCTCCACGATCAAGCTCCGTTGACCTCTCTCCGACCACCGGAGAACTCCATCAGCGAATAGAGTCACCGGAGTGACGGTGCCGTTTATGAGGACCCGGTCGGAGAGGACGGGTTGCGGTTGAGCGGAGTAGGGTCGGTCCATGTTGGATTGTGTTTCAAGTCTTCAAAGAGTCGTTGAGGCTCTTCTTTGGAGTCCGAGGTCTGATGTAGAAATTTGTGCGCTCGTTTGCGCAGACACCGGTTCACTTTGGTTGAGGTTGAAAGAAGCGAACCGGACGTGAACGATGCCAACGGAAATTGGTTTCATTTACCAAAAAACCTTATAAAACCGAAATTAGTTGTTGGGTTGATTGTAATTTGCATTATTCGGTTTATTCTATGATGCCCACAAAAGATAAAGAAATGTAGCGTTGGGGCAAAAGCTGCTTCGACATCCATCGAAAAAGGGAAAAGTATGTATATGAGATAAATTAAATCGTGACCTGTCCCTGCCCATTGGGGAAGCGAAACAAAAGCGTCAATAGTTTTTGACATCATATTTGGGGACAATGAAAATGTTTGGATTATTACAATTAAAGTTATACACTACTTGCAAAGGATTAATTTCTAAGTTCGAGTCTCAGTATCCGTATTATGTGTGTGAATTTAGTATATTATTGCCCTTTAAATAAAAAAAATTCTTTAAAAAAAAAAGGTCATACACTACTATTTGAAACATATATATCCCTAAACTAAGATGTAGTTGGAAATAGCCCGATCTAATAATGTTTCAACGTTGTTTAAAATCCCGTTTAGTTTAAAAATAGCAAATCAATGTTTCAAAGTTGTTAATGTTACATCAATTAGCTCTTATTTTGGCAGTACTTTCTTTCCAATATTAGGAGAAGTCCATAATTTGAAATCCCACTGATTGATTATAATTTAGAGAAACCTTTGTTACTGCTGGATTTTACGTCATGCCCGAAAAAGGGTCGTGTAATGGCTTAGGGCATCAATCTGACCTAGGTCCATTCTGGCTGGATATCCAAGTCCCAAATTATACGTTCTGGGCCGAGTTGAATGTAGTCAAACCATTTGGGCCAAGTCGAATGTGCTCAAACCACTTTCATGTACTGAAGAAAAACACATGTGAACCGGCCTCTTAACCACAAGCGCACCAACTCGGGGCAGTGAAGCTGCAATGGTAGGCAAGGTCGAAGTGGAAGCGATTCCGGCGCCAAATCCCCGAGGCCGTCACATAAAGAAGAGGGCTCTTAAAAACAAAGCTCTCGCCGTCACGTTCAACGAGAAAGATCTCAGGTAGTAGACCGCCATCACGAGCTTCATCAGTAACGAAAACTAAGCCCTGAATTTTGTTCTTTTTGTATTTTGTGAATTGGATCTTTTTCATATTTGGGGTTTAACGTTTACTTCTTTTGGGTGTTTAACTTGGGGGGCTTTGGTTTGTGAAGCGATTTTGTGTCTGGGTTTCACAAGAGGAAGAAGAAAAGGAGAAAGGAAGCCGAGAAGAAGCAAGGGGAGGCGCTACGGCGTAAGCGTCTTGAGCTGCGCAAAAAGGTTAGAATTTATGGTCAATTTTTGACCCTTGGATGGCCTTTTTTTTATGGTATTTTTTCGTGTAATGATGTAGCTGTATTTTTTTGATCTTTGGATAATAGTCGATTGATGTAATCTCATTGTTGCCAAGTTGCTGTTTTTGTTTGCGGATGACTGAAAAAGCAAAAACATATGTAAAGTTTATTTATTGACCGCAATTTCTTGGAACATAAGCTTAAGCTATTAGGATGTGGATCAGGAATAGCATTTCCCATTGACCACTAAGTCTCTGTTTGTTGGTCTGATTATCTGATACGAGCCATGAAGCCTGAAAATATGAATAGAATTATCAAGCTGTCTACAATAATGCAATTATATTGTCAAGTTTTGGTTAGTTGTGCTTTCATATTATTAATTTCTAAAGAAAAATTGATTATTGAATTGCTGTATGTCCGCAAATAAACTTTGTTTCTCTTTTCCCTATGATGATTTTCATGCGCGTAACATAAAACATTATTATAGTACAGAAGATTCAACTTCTGGTAGGATGGTAGTTGCTGTGGAGGGATACTACTGCTAGGGATGTTACCAGAGCCTTATTGTTGGAAAAAGCCAGTAGCACCATTTTTCTATGCCAAAAATTGAAAATTTTGAAAATTTTGGTAACCAATGTCAACAAACTTAGTCTTGTTCTGCAAACATTTTCCACCATAGAAATCAGAAGAGAATGCCATATTGCACATGCATGATAGGGGTGTATTGCTTCTGAGCATGTCCTCTCAGGCAGTCAAAGCCATATTGCAACTGTTCACCTTATGCAAGGGCTTTGATCTCAGGTAAAATTTGGCTAATTAAACCATTTTAACCCAGTAATTCTTGAATTTTGAGGCACAAAGATTTTATTTTTCTGCTGGGGGTGGGGGTCGGGAAGAGGGAGAAAAGGGGTCATCGTTGTTCATACATATTTCATCCTTTATGAGATTCTTCTTTTGATTTTGTTTGTTTGTTTTTTTTTACCAGGGCACTGATGAATGTATGTTAACGTACTTGAAAAACAACCCAAGTTTTCATTATCTTACCTTTGGTAACGTTTGTTGCAGAGGAGACTAGAAAAGGAACTGGCTCTTAATGGTGACGCTCCCCCAGCCACTGACACAGCAGCTGATGAGAGTGATGAGTATGACGAGGATGATGAAAGTAGTGAGCCAGCACTACCAGTTTCAGGTATTTTCCAAAACTTTGATTCACAATGGATACAAACATGTATTTAAGCTACTTTTATGTGTCAGTACTTACTAAGAACTTGTGGGTTATGTTGGGTGCTCTAGTGCTGCTAACCCTGCTCTAACCCTGTAGTGTTAACTTTTTAGTGGTTGGTCTTTTGGTTAGTGAGACAGTAACAAAGTTGGAACCAAAGGCACACACTATTGAATTTAGGAAATCTTTGACTTAAGTGGCAATTTAATCACATCACTTGCTACTGATCACAGAGTATTCATTATGTATGGCAAGATGGGAGTTATTAATTCTTTGTGTTTCCATATTTATAGATTTCTTCCCATACTTGTGATATATGAAATGTTTCTAGAGAACTAATAGTACCAAAAAGGTTTAAACTGTTGGGCACTAGTCTTTTGATGACTCATTTAAAGCCCCTTGAATGTTCTTGCCTAAACAAATATAAAAGTACAACTCATAGTAATGGCCTTTTGAATGTCAGATATATGAACTTATCCGTGAATTTGTCCTTGGATTTTATATAAATAGAGGTGGATTGTGGTTTATTATGCTGTAATGCTTCAGTTCATGCTTAATCAGATTTGAGTTGACCTTTTGTTATTGCTTAAGGTACAACGACTTATGACAACGGTGACATGAAAGTCACTGTGACAACAAGCGAGATCTCTCGAGAAGAGGAAAGTGATTCAGATGAAAAGACAGACGCAGCAATACCCCAATCAGTTGGAGCTTCTAAAAAGCACAGTGTACCTGTGAGCAAGACGAAACCTTTGAAAAAAGTTGCAAAACGAAAATCACGGCCCAAGCTGCAACGTAAAAGAGATAAAAGGAAGGGACCGGAAAAGACCAAGAAGAGGCGCTAGGTTTTGGTCTTCCCTTTCCCGATTCGTTGAGGTTGTAGGATCAACATGTCTTTCCTATAGAGAAATATGAAGTAGTGAACTCAGCTGCCCAGAACTTCCATTTGGGTCTCTGGAGTTTTTGGTTGTTTGAATCAAGCTTTTAGTTGTATACTGCCCATTTTTGTATTAGACATTTGATTGAAATGGGATGTGTTACATTTTTTCTGTTCTGCATAATCTCCTTATATTTCTTTTGGATATATTATATCTTGCATCCTTATCTGCATATGTTGTAGCATCTTTGTTAAAGTGAAGCTGTCGTCCCTTTATAGAGGAATTCAATTTGTTGAACATATTTAATTATTAAAGTAGTAATGATGGGCAATGGAAATACTTAGGTGTGACCGTCACACACATATTATTAATAATAAATACGCGTATTATGACACAAGGGAATTTTAGTATCATGTGGTGGTGTGACAATCACTGGAAGTATTTATCAAGTCAGATGGAAAGAAAATAACTCATTCATTACACATAACCAGAAAGAAATGTCCTAATCATAAAATGAAGTTGCTTAGCAAAGTAAACAAATTGAAATGGTAAATACCAGAAGTTTTGGTGCTTGTTCGTATCAGATTAGTAGGAAGAAAAATTGCAGTTTGATTCCTTAAGCATGCTTGACTTTCTTCATCACTCATTTCTTAATTTTCTTTTAATACTCGTTATTTTTGGTAAAAATAAAATCTTAAATTAGACGGCTACAATCGCCAAAGCACACACTTTTTCTGGACCCATACAAGCACACCCGAAGACTCACGTGGCCAATCATTAAAAAATTCAAAATATTCCTAAACTTCAACGGATCCAACGGTCCTTATCGGTCGATTGTCTGCTCGCAAAAAATCTCAGCCACCGACCGAGGAGCAGCGAGAGATTCGCCACTGTTCGGAGCAAAAGAAAAAAAGAAAAGAAAAGAGGGCCACTGTAAGCCCAGCACACTGGGACAAAAAGCCTATCCCTCTCTCTCTTTTAATTGTTTCAAAGACGTTAGCCAGCGAGAAAATTCGCAGACGCTTCGACGAAACTTCTCAGATTCCTCAAATTCTCTCCCTCTCAGGTTTTTTTTTTTTCACTTTTTCCCGCTCGCTTTTTTTCCCTACTTTTCCTTTTTCCTCTCATCCAATTTGATTCCACACATCACACATGGACTAAAGCAGAGAACGACTCGTGTTTTGGATCAGATTTCGTATTTTGTTTGGCTGCTCAGAAAACGGAAGAAAGAAAAGAAATTCGAGTCGTTTTGTTGACTTTTGTTTGTTTATTGGTGTGTGTTTGCGTCTGGGAATGGAAAATTCAAGTCAAACTAAACGTTAGCTCTAAGTGATTTGAAAGTTTTGTGTATTTTGTCTGATTGGTTTCTTCCACTTTCTCAGCAACTGAACAGGAGGTTTACTTTTGGGAACGGTGAAGATGCAGACGAGGTACATGGAGAGATCGAATAGTATGGCGAGGGAGAAGCGAGGTTTGGATTCGTCTTCAGCTGAAGAAGGCCAGCCAGATAGGAAACGGCCTGCTCTAGCCAGGTCCTTTTTTGTTTGGTTAAAAAAAACTTGGATTTCCAGTTAATTTGAACTAATTTGTTAATTGTTGGGTGTGTTCTGTTTGTAATTTAGCTGTAATGTAAAAATGGATATGAAATCTGTTAGAATTTTGTGTTTTGTGTGAGAAATATTGGAACTTGAAGTGTTGAACTGATAAATGTGCTATAGAAACTCAAAACTCATTTATATGT